AGGATCAACTAGAGATTTTTTTATAATATTTTTGGAACCTGGTGTAAAGGATGTTCTTTTGGTCCATTCTTTTTGTACGTAATGTTTTTCTCGATCTCTACTGTCCCACAAACATAAAAAGCAAGGTGTTTTCGTAAAACCTGCTTGTTGGCCCAAAATGATACTTATAATTTTAAAATCTCTACAAATTTGCCAATTGTGTTCTTTATATTTAATTTTCTCCAAAACTAATTTGACAGTTTCATAATCTTCTTTAAGTTCAGTGGAATGGGCTACGGGAATTGAAGCAAAAACATTAGTGTTATGAATTAGCACTGCCTTTAGACTTCTTTTAGAAGAGTCAATGAATAACCTCCAATGTTGATCGTCATATATGTTTGGTTTCAATTCATTTATTAGTCCTTCAATGTCAGAACAATATACTAATGAAAGCTCATCGTCTTTTGTAAAATATTTCTGAAATTCCTTTTCTCTGTCACGATAAAAGTAAGCTGTGGTGCCTTTAGATAACAAATTTTTCTTTTTTAAAACTGAAGCTAGATATTCTGCTCTATTTTTGGGTAATTTCAAATCTCTGATGAGGTTGCTAAGCTCTCTTGCGTAAAGCCTTCTTTATCCTTTTCTTCCTGATAACCATCTGGAATATAAATATCATCATTGTCTTCTACAATATTACTAATCTCATCACTTATATCGGAAAGTACATACTCTAATGGTGAACTGTCGATTTCCATATTTGCAGAAGAAAGAGTTAAATGACTTAAAATTTCGGGTTTTTTCACAGATACTACACATGCGTAAATTGTATTCTTTTTATTATTTGTATTATAGCCCTTTACATTGGTCATGCAAAAGTAGCAATCTTCTCGATTCAATGGTTTTTTCCACAATGTTGGTTTTTTAAACTTCAGGTGTTTATCCTCTTTCGTATCATTCCAACGAGTTAACATTGTGTAGCAGGAACTGCAGATTGTATGTGGAACCCATTTTTCATTCTGATTGACTGTCTCAAAATCAAAACAATCTTTGTAAATTTGTTTAATGTTTTCATTAATTAATTTGCGATTTTTCGGGATATCAAATTGTCCGCATACGTAACAAAATACATCTGCATTGCTGTCACATGTATGTTGTGAGGTTGACACTCCAAAAAGAACTTTTGAAGCGTTTGAAGTTTTTTTTATTGTTTTGATTTTTGAAAGCCATGATATTTAGGAAAATGCCCGCTCGCTAGGGATCCTGGTTTGATCGCAGACGAGTCCACAGTCCTAGGGGTGATAACCCTCATACCTCCCTAGGCCTAAGTATGAGAGCTTTCCGACTTTGACGAAGACATTGTCAACTCGTCGTCGGACACACTACGGTATCATCCTCACACCCTCACGTCCCCCTGCAAGGCAGCGCGCCTTCGCTGGCTTCGTTACTTCGATAGACAGGAAGCAAATCATTCTACACATCCCATTTCGGGGCAGTTGTCATCGCCTACTACATCTATCGAAGCAGCAGGATTAATAGACCTTTTCATTTAAGGAGTCTGTACTGCGCAAGCGCGGAGTATATATATATAACTTCCGACAAAGTTTCGAGCACTTTTTGTACAAAATGCACAGTGCCAATAGTAAAAAGTAATTAAAAAATATTACTAATGAATGTAGAAAAAAAATTAGCGTGTATTAAAAATGAGCAGCATCCCTGAGAAAAATAATCCAAAAAGGAAAAACATTGATACACAAAAAAAATATTGTTTTGGGAATTGCAAAAGTGATGCTCGTTGCAAGTCTTATTTGACTGAAAATGATTACTTTATTTCTTTCCCAAAACCGTTTAACATTTAGAAAATGAAATATTAGGAATGAAAATATTCGAAGTAATTGCAAAACTTGTTAAGTATATCGAAAATGAGACCTTTGGGTAAGGATATGTTTATAACATAACATAACCTTATTTACTTGTAAACAATATAGACTTTTTTACCCTTTAAACACTGACTTCGGCTTTATAACCATATTTTTAATTGACAGGCAGTATTTTTCTCTACCTGTTCTCTACCTGTTAATTTTGCTTCTGGAATATCATTTTCATCGAGTTTTTTATTTGAATTGTTATTAGCACAATATACATTCTGACACAAAGTTGCTCGAAAATTTTGAAATCACGCCGTCTGTCATGGTGTAGCTTCAACTTTCGGTCTTAAATGAAAAGGTCTATATTGTGCCAAAGCACAACGGAAATACAATACAGTATTATGTCCTAGCAGGCCTGCGTTCAAGAGAAAAGTATTCTGCAATTGTTGAATTGAACTTCATCCAGAAATTATGCCTAATTCTCTAGAAATGTTTCTAGATGTCGTCTCGATAAATACATTTTAATTTAGTCATTCAGGTTACCAAAAATCTGCATTTCCTGCTGCATAAATGTTTACCAACAAACTTTTCGAAACTTTTAAATTCACCGACTTCCAAAATGCTTGCATATCAAGTCATATTGGACTAGTTGTTAGAAATTTTTAAAGTCTGATTTGAAATTTGTGATCAGCGATCCGAAAAACCAGTGAGTACCCATTTTAAAGCAAAATAAATCAATTTTCAAAAAAATTACTGCCATATTGGATCCGCCATATTGAATTTTTAAAATCTGACTACAAATTTGTATAATCAGCGACCCCGAAAATCCCTATACATATACCAAGTAATATGAAAATCCAACAAATTTTTTAAATTTGTCCGCCATATTGGATCCGACATTTTGAATTTTTAAAAACTGACTGCAGATTCGTAATCAGCGATCTTAAAAACCCCCGAAAAACAAGTTTGAGAAAAATCTAATCAATTTTTAAAAAATGTTGTATTTTACATAAATTACATAAAATCTGACATGTTTTTTGAGGTTAGAAAAAAATCCTGACGTGATGGAGCAAATCTGGCTTCGGATTCGTGTTCAGCGCATCAAAATACATAGGAGTATGGTAGTACTGTGGACTTTCGCGCAGGGTACTTTTCTTTTTTTGTGGGGCTGTGTTATCTTCTTCTACTTATTCTACTTCTTCATCCATAATTTGTGGAGGATAATTTGATTTGTCTTCCATTTTTTTTCTTTTCTTTCTAAAAGAAAATTTTTAATATTAAATAAAATTAACTTTAAAAATAAAAAAATAAGAAATATTAAAATAAAAATAATTTGATGGGAGAGAAGAACTGTAAGAAAGTGATAAAAAAGAGAGAAAAGACCTGTAAGACAGAAAGAGAGAAAATACCTGTAAGACAGAAAGAGAGAAAATACTTGTAAGAGAAAAAGAGAGAAATTACCTGTAAGAGAAAAAAAAGAGAAAATACCTGGAAGGGAAATAACATTGAAGAGAGAAAAAAGACCTTGTGAAGAGAAAAAAATAAACCTAGAGGAGAGAAAGACCTGGAGGAAAGAAAGAAAGACCTGGTGAAGAGAAAAAAATAAACCTAGAGGAGAGAAAGACCTGGAGGAAAGAAAGAAAGACCTGGTAAAGAGAAAGAAAAAAACCTAGAGGAGAGAAAGACCTGGAGGAAAGAAAGAAAGACCTGGTAAAGAGAAAGAAATCAACCTAGAGGAGAGAAAGACCTGGAGGAAAGAAAGACCTGGAGAAGAGAAAGAAAGAAAGAAACAAAGACCTAGTGAAGAGAAAGAAAAGACCTAGAGGAGAGAAAGACCTGGAGGGAAGAGACCTGTAAGAAATAGAAACCTACGACGATGCAAGCTGAAAGTAGAATGAGTGTGGTGGCTGGCGCACTGCACTCACTCACCGTTGTGATCCCCACCACGGCGCTCTCCCACCACAGCGCCCTCCACTAGGCATCGCTAGTGGAGTGAAAGCAGCATCTCCATGCGGCGATTCTCCGTAACAAGTTCCAATACGCGGTGATTTTTGAATATATATTGTTGATAATAATAATAATAATAATAATAATAATAATAATAATAATAATAATAATAATAATAATAATAAATTGTTAAAAACAATTATATTTACTAAATTTTCTTTAAAATATTTTTTCAAATATAACTGCGTATTCAAAATATTCTAAAATGACATAAGAGTTCAAGTATTGCATATAAATAAATAAATATTTAAAATTTAAGAAAGCATTTTTTAAATTAACTAACATTCTAACATCAAATTTTTCAAGTTCAATTCACCTTAAAACAAATTATGATTTTAATTAAATTTTTTTTTTCAAAGTTGGAACTTAAAGAATAAAGGATAGGATAATATAAATAAAGGAATAAAATAAAGGATATTTTTATAAAAATTATATTAGTATTTAACAAAATATAAAAACTTTTCATTAAACTTTTATTTTGTAAGGAAAATAAACTTATTTTAAAATATTTAAATATAAACCATTTTACTTAAATTGCAGATTATAACCCTTCAATATTAAGTTTAAACACAACCTATATTTTTAAAATAAGGTTAAATACTTTTTTAATACTTTGGTAAAGGGTAACCAGTGAATTATTAATAAATCACAAAATTTAAAGTAAGAATGTCACTCTTATGTTAAAACAAAAAAGCACTTTTCGAAAATTACGCGATCAAATTATCGCTGACATTCAAAGTTTTGTAATTAAAAGACTTTTAAAAATTGGTCAATTAAATGAAATTATCATTTGAAATACAAAATAATGCGACTAACGAGATTATTCGTTGTCATACAAAAACACTTCGACAATTAAGTCTTTGAACGAAATTATCATTCACCCAAAATTTAGCGATTAAACGAAATTCTCACTATTATGTTAAAACAAAAAACACTTTTCGAAAATTACGCGATTAAATTAAATTGTCACTTTTCTGATAAAACAAAAAAATACTTTTCGAACATTGAGCGATTAAACGAAATTGACACTGTTTTACAAAAACAAAAAAAACAGCTTTCGAAAATTAAAGGATTGACAAAAATTGGCACTATTTTGTCACAAACAAAAAAACACTTTAAATTTAAGTTATTGAAACAAAATTATCTCTCTTAAATCTGGTGACATGTAAAAAAATATTTCTCACTAATAATAATAATCACTTTAACTCTTTGGTTTTCACCCTTGTTGATTGGAATTTTCTCTATCCTTTTTTTAAATTTAGGTTTATTTTGCGGTCTTGTAGGCTTCCTGATGCAAGGATTTAATGAGTCATGCTGAGTGATGTTGCCAGTTGAAGTTGAAGGAACTGGTTTTGGTATTTCCTTGGAAGTTGAAGGAACTGGTTTTGGTATTTTCTTTGAAGTTAAAGGCACTGCTTTTGGTATTCCCTTGGAAGTAGAAGGCAGTAATTTTTGTATTTTTGGTTGAGGATTATCCAACTTTATTGCTTTTTCACGAGGATCAAATTTTCTTTTTAAAGATTTAATTTTTTCAGATGATGACGATGCTTGAACTAAAGCCTGGTTTTGATTCTTATTTTTGAAAATTTCTACACGTTGATCATCTCTCTGTTTTGAAGTTGCTGGAGGCTGATCATCATTCTGTTTTGTAGTTGCTGGAGGTTGATCATCATTCTGTTTTGTAGTTTCTGTAGGTTGATCATCATTTTTCATTATCGGAGATTCTAGAGGTTGATCACTTTTTATTTTAGAAATTTCTTCGATTGACTCAGAGGATGATGATGATGATGATGATGATGATGATGATGATGAGGAGTCAGAAGAATTGCTCGAAGAAGAGGAAGATGATGAATCTGAACTGCTCGAGGAGGATTTACACTTTTTTGTTGTTGTTTTTTTCTTAGATTTTGCTGAAGTTGTAGTTAAAAGATTTATTTGTTGTTCTTTCGGTGTTGGATGATAGGATTCTGTTTGACGTTCTTCAATAGTTTCTAAAGGAGTTGGAGAATATAATTCTAAAGATGAAGATGGAGAATTCAATCTACTAATTCTTGGACGACTGAAAGATGTGGATGAACTCGTTGGCTGTGCAGCAAACTCAGGTTGTTGCACGGTTGGTAATGGCACAGATGATAGATATATACCATTCGTTGGCTGAACACAAGGTGTTTGATATCTGACATTCGTCGGTTGAACACAAGGTGTTGGATATCTGCCATTCGTTGGTTGAACATAAGGTGTTGGATAACTGACATTCGTTGGCTGAATTACAAGGTGTTGGATATCTGACATTCGTCGGTTGAACATAAGGTGTTCTGCCTCTGATTGGGTGTGCAGAAAATTCCTGATGTATATTTTTTGTCAACTGTGAAGAAGGTTCCTTATGCATATTTTTTGTCAACTGTGTAGTGCGTGAGCGCCGTTCTACAGCCATTAAATGTAAAAAAAGAAGACTGTAAATTTTCAGTAAAAAATTTTACTAAATCCTGAATGCATAGTTGCTGCCCAGAAAGTGGATATACCTGTAAAAAACAAACTATTTTACTCATTGACATTTTTCTATCAAATTAGTTGATTAATTAAAATTATTAAATATAAAAAATCATTTAAAATAACTTATAATAATTTTAATTAATAAAATATGTAAGAGGACTCGATAATGTGAGGTTATGTTAAATAGATAATGTGAGGTTATGTTAAAATAGATAATGTGAGGTTATGTTAAAAATAGATAATGACAATTAAAAAATTAACCTTTAGTATGAGATTTTCCCAAGTGGTTTTTCTTAACTTTGAAAGGTCCTTGCACTGGTGGTCAGAGGAGCTAGCCTCCTTAAGGAAGGAATGCCTCAAAGCAAGAAGGACATATACCCGATCTAAGGGAGATCCCTTGCTGAAAGAGGCTTTCAAAGAGGCGAAAAAGAACCTCAAGAAAGAGATCCAGAAGTCGCGACGCCGTAGCTGGAAGGACCTAATCGAGGAAGTCGATAAGGACCCATGGGGTCTGGCATTTAAACTCGTTACTAAGAAATTAGTGACGAGGCAAAAGACCCCCGGCCTGGACAATACCGATTGGGTCAGAAAGATAATAAATTCTTTGTTTCCTCCTGCAGAGCCATACCTTAAAAGGGACTGGAGTTTTTGCAAAGTCGAAGAGGAAGAACTCTTCACACTTAGTGAACTGCAAAAAGCAGGCAAAAGATTGAAAACAGGCAAGGCGCCTGGAATCGATGGGATAAGTAATGAGATCCTAAATTTGGTAATCGACACTTCACCCCAGATTCTGCTTCGATGCATCAATCTTTGCCTTGAGAGAGGAGAGTTCTTCCGCGACTGGAAGCGACAGAGGTTAGTCCTCCTGAGGAAAGGTGAAAAACCTCTAGATAAAGTCTCATCATACAGGCCTATATGCCTGCTAGATACGATGGGTAAACTTCTAGAGGATATGGTTCTGCAGAGAATGCAAAGCCACTTGACCGGAGAGAATAGTCTATCGGATCACCAATTTGGTTTCCGTAAAGGCAAGTCCACAGTTGATGCCATCCAGGCAGTTGTGGACATAGCCAAAGCAGGAAAAAACAAGTTGGGACCCGGAAAAAAGAAGAGCTTCTCCGCGTTGGTGGCAATTGACATACGCAACGCGTTTAATTCCGCAAGATGGAAAGATCTCATCGAGTAGATGGAAAAGAAAAACATGCCGCCCTACTTGTTGCGGATAATGGATAATTATCCTAGCGACAGGTGGGTTATATATGAGGGAGACACCTGCACTCTTAGGGAAGAGATGCAGCGTGGGGCTCCTCAAGGCTCGAGGGTGGGTCCATTTGTATGGAATGTATCTTACGATGATTTTCTGCGAATGGATCTACCCGAAGGTGCGGTGATCATCGGCTTTGCGGACGACGCGTTGTTCGTGTGCACTGCCGAAAGTGAGGAGGCTCTTGGGACATTGGTGAACGAATGTCTGCGACTAGCAAAAAGCTGGCTGGATACCAGAGGTCTTGAAAGGGCCCTGGAAAAGACCGAGGCACTGCTGGTCACAGACAGACGTGGTTATGAGCTCCCACGAATCGTGATAGACGGATTCGAGGTCAAGTGGAGTAAGCAAATTAAATATCTTGGTGTGGAGTTGGATGGAAGGTTAAACTTTTACCACCACATGGCTACGGCGTCAAATAAGGCGATCAAGTGTGCGGCTAATCTTTCACGGTTAATGCCAAATGTAGGCGGACCCCGTGAACAAAAAATAAGACTGGTGGCGAGTGTCGACCATGCTAAAATGCTCTACGCAGCACCAGCGTGGGCCCCATCCCTGAGTAGTAAAAGATGTGTTACCATCTGTGAAAAGATACTGTCGGCGCAGAGATTGATAACAACGCGTATCATCTCTGCATATAAGACGGTATCTACGAGTGCTGTGCAGGTCCTTGCAAGTGTCCCGCCAGCAGATCTTTTGGCGAGGGAAAGGGAAGAAATGTTTCTCTTTTCTAAAGAAAGCAGTTCCTTGGATGAGGAAATAAGACCAAGCAAGGGCCTGATCCGCAAAGAAGCGAGGCACAGGCTCATAGAAAGATGTCAAGAAAGATGGGATGGTGAGGAAAAAGGTCGATGGACTTATCGCCTTGTCCCGGCACTCGCCACCTAGATAAATAGGAAACACGGTCAGGTTTCCTATTATATGACTCAGGCGCTCACAGGTCACGGGTGTTTTAACTCGTACCTGTGTCGCTTTAAATTACGCGAGGACGAGGTGTGTGCATATTGCCAGTTCCCTGAGGACAACGCGGAGCACACCCTCTTCTCATGCAAGAAATGGGACTTGGAGAGGCGGGCCATGTTTGAAGGTGTAAACAGTCAAGTTACACCGGAGAACATGGTATCGCTGATGACCCAGTCAGAAGACAATTGGCGGCAAGTCGAAAACTTCATAATCTCGGTTATGTCGAGGTAGGATCTCGACGGCCGCCAAAAAGCGTAATTTAAACAGCTTTTAATTTGTTTGTTTTTTATTAATTTATTTTGTGATTTATGTGTCCTTATACATTTTTTTTAATTGTTTGTGTTTTTTATTCATCTTTGTACAGTTTTATGTTTTCAATATTTTAAACGCGTTTTTTTTATATTCGTTTGTAATTTTATCTTTTAATTTTTTACACTTTTTAGAATTTGCTTTTTTATTGTTGTGCTGTAAATTCCGCTTATACTTTGAAATAGTTTAAATTTTTTTCTTTAACTGTGGACGCAGGTTAACCGCGGAGAGGGGCAGAGGGTCGCATTGGCGACAAAGTTGGAGCGCCACCCTCGAAGGCTGAAGTCTTGCGACAGTTCCGAGGGAGGGTAAAGGGCTCCAGAAAAAAGGTTGCGGGTTTTAGTGGGTCGGGCTGGTAGTAGGTCGCCAGTTTATTAAATTTACTATAATATATATTTATTTATTTATTTTTTTTTTTATATTTCCTTTTTGTTTTATCATACCAACCCCACATAACCTTGGAGTGCGGAATCCAAGGTATCTGTAGGCAGATTTCCCAAAAGTCCCTAAGCAAAAATAATAATAATAATAATAATAATAATAATAATAATAATAATAATAATAATAATAATAATAATAATAATAATAATAATGGTGAAAGGGGAACCCTCCGGAGAGGCTTCTTCCTGAGTATGAGTGTGGGATGCGCTATAAACGCGTTATTCTCCTGGTTGCGAAGTTTGTAAGGGATCTCCGGCTGGTCCCGGCCTCCAAAGCTCCTCAAACAACATAGACATAAACACACACTACTTACACTGATATGGGTACACTCACCTACATAACAGCACACATATACACTTATACTACTAACCCTCACACCCATACCGAATCTTGGAAATTGTTTTTTTTATGAAATGTGTGATGTTAAGAACGATATCCTCCAAGCAGGTACCTCAAAAGAGGGTAATCCTGCCGCTGATTCCGATCGGGTGGAAGCCCCGGTGGTCAGTGCAAGGCCCACGGATTTGGGGGGGGGCCAACCTCACACTGGTTCTTCAGATTGTAACGCTGAAGACAAAATGGAGACAGAAACTGCAGAAGTGCACCAGTTTTCTTCCACAAGTAAGGAGGAGACAAGCACAGCTGCAACTTCTGTTGCAAGTGGAGCAAAACATGGCGGTCCTTCGGTCCCGCCATGGGCAAAAGTATTGAAGATCATGCTTGGGATCATGGCAGACCAGAGGCTTCAAAATGAAGCTCTAGAAAAAACCCTCCTCGCTATGGAGAATTCCTTTAGGAAAAATACTTCTACTGAGGTTAGGAAATTCATGGCAGAAGCAAAGGAAATCTTTGCTGGAGTCAGGAGTGCGGGTCTCACTCTCCGGTCTTCAGCTGATAGGCTCCAAAAATCTATGGATATATCGTACCAAAAGTACGAAGAGAGGCGCATCGACATCTCCAGAGGAACAACAGACTAAAAAGACGGGCTCGATGCTGCAAAAGGAGAAAAACTCAAAATCCGCAATGTCGTCAGAGAAAGAAAATCCTGACGGGTGGAGCAAAGTTGTCTCCAAGAAAGAGAAGAAAAAAAAGGAAAAGAAGAAGACAGAGACAAAAGAATTGTCCAGGGGTCAAGTTAAGAAGAAGAAAAGGAACACTGAAGCAATCAGAGTTTCAATGGAGGACGGAAGACTTCCTCCAAATAAACTTATTGAAGAGCTTTTCGCCACGGTCAACCCTGCTGAAACAAAAACGGAGGTTCTGTCCATTAGGAAAACGAAGAAGCAAGACTTGCTCTTCGTTCTCAAAAGAGGACAGGACTTCTCGACGTTCAGTAGTAAGGTTACCGAGGCTCTCAAAGGAAAGGCAATGGTCTCACCTCTGATGACAAAGAGATTATTAGAGGTTAGAGACCTGGATGAGACAACCGAAACTGAAGATGTCACTGAGGCCTTAAAAAAAGCTTTGGGCAGGACCGATCTAGAGATGTCCTGCAGACTCTTCACCCTGCGTGGAGCAGTAAAAATGGCGGTGATCCAACTACCAGAAGCAGACGCTGATGCTCTGCTTACGGCCGGTAAGGTAAAGGTAGGTTGGATAAACTGTAAGATTCGCAGCAGGGTGGAAGTTGACAGATTTCACAAATGCCTTAGCTATGGGCATATAGCAAGAGTCTGTAAAGGACCCGATAGCAGCAAAGCTTGCTGGAAGTGTGGCTCCTTAGACCATTCCCACAGGAATTGTGCAGGGGAACCCCATTGAACAACTTGTGAGGACAAAGGGCTAAAGGAGACAAGTCACGCTCCAGGAAGTGGGTCCTGCC